GGGACCTTCTCGCCATAAGGAACCCATATTTGGGCTTTTCCGCGCAATTAAAAGGGATAAATGAGCTTTTCTTGAAGTTTTCCAGTCCGCATCCAGTGAAAAAACGCTTGAGTGGGTGGAGCTCGAAAGGAAAAAGGCGGGGCGCGAAAGACTTCCGGCGTATTTGCATTGAAGGCGGACTAAAAAGCATTGAGAAAAGCTCATTCTCGCCATTTTCGAAGCCCAGATAGGGATTCCTCATGGCGAGAAGGTCCCCGGTGAAAAACTGGAAAACGAAATTCTTCCGAGCCGTTGCCTTCAAATTCGCAAACACTCACTCATTCATTCATATTCATCAAATTCAGCAACTGGCAGCTTTAAAGAGCTAGTAAGCCAAAGCAGTTAATTCGGGCACGTAACACTGAGATGGGCTTTTGATTTGATGACCTACATAGAAATCGGGCCTGTTGACCGTCTCCCGGGTTACGATGGTATTCGGTGAGAGATCAGAACCTTGGATATGACTATAATATGGTCTACTGGAGTTCAGCATGCTGACTACGAATGTTCGCTTATAGTAGTGCATTTCTATGGAGTTTAAGTAAACTCCTGATCTGATTTTTAGACAAAATGTAACAATTCCAATTTTTGGTTCCGCACTGGAAGCCCCAATGCATTTTTCACGCACCTGAAATGCTATAGATTTCTTAGTTCCAAGACCCTCCTCGAGAGGTTTTCTATGCCAGAGCAACTCCGGATCTTCTTCTTCCGAACTTTGTGAGAGTTGTTCCAAATGTGTTTCGAATTTACCCTGAAAGAAGTGAGCAGCTAAAAATGCGAATCTGATAGTTAATTCTAGATATACCTTGCTTGGAGGCTGTGCATCTCCCTTTCGTCGTTTTGCTGCGACCGCAGCCGGAGTGACTGTGGTTCGCTTTTTTGGAGATGGCATCTGAATATGGGAATTCTTCCATTCTGTATACTTTAAAAAGTCAGTAGAAAAGCAGTTAAAAAGAATGAATCTGTAATCAAAAACTGCTAATCTGTAAATGAACTTTGCCAAGCAAAGTTAGCGGTCAAAGTTCTCAAAAAGCTAAAGCAGAGATTCAAATGAAAGCATCATAGGAACTTCCAAAACAAACAGAAATGGTCCAAAAAGCAATTCTTGTTCCGTGCAAAACAAAATTGCCAAATTATCCCGCCAGAAAATTTCATGCTCTAGTGCGAATTTCACATGCGTCCTATAAAAAATTTGCGGAAAATAAACAACACATGAGAAAAATTCATCATTTCCGGTGTTTTTAGAAGTCTTTTTCTGATACTATAATA